TTAAAATGCTTTATTAATAATTAATTAATATGTTGAATATGTTTAAGCAGGCTTCAAAATATGAAAAAACGTCAACGCTTATCATATATTCGAAAATTCGAGTTTTTTGGTTAAATATATATTTAGTGGCAACCTACGGTCGGAACTATGCTACAAAACTATAGAACACGTCGAAAACTATAAAATTTCATTGTTCAAATTTGAAAAAATGTGCAATGATATGCTAACTTTCAAGCGAAATTGCTAAAGAGCAATTTAAAGATTATCTGCAACAAGAGATTTGTTCCTCTCAACTCTGTTTTTTCTCAGACAATTCTTTTTTTTCTTTCTCTTTCTATTTACCTGTTTTGTTTGAAGTACCGAGTGTAAAAAAAGAATAGTTGTCTAAAGAAACAGACTTGTGGCAGACATGAGAAAAGATTATCCTGTGAATTATTTGGGAAGAGATAAGAGGATGAGTCTCTTGAAAGAAACGAGAAAAGATACTTAGACAGTAAATGAAACAGAATGAAAATTATCTATAGGCTCAGATAGGCCATTATTAATGATAAAATGCATCTAGTCATTATTGTTTCGTGGAGAAAGTAAAAAAGTAAAGTAAAAGTAAAATCGATTCGGGAGATGATACTTGAATTAGCGAGTGGATGAAGAAACTATACGTGACGCGTTCATAATGTTGTGAAAGTTATCACTAGATATTCACTAGAAATACGAAAGTACACGCACGCGTTGGCATTTTATATCACTTTATTAATATTTATTATATCCAATCAGATATATATTAATACTGCAATAAGATTATGAAAGTAACACATATAATAAAATTATCACAATTTCTAGCAATATCGAAATATTAATGACTTAACTTTCGAAGTTATTTAGTCTCCCGCTCGTGAGAACGCTTGTAAAAAATCCAGTATTTCAAAACCATCAAAAAACCGAAAGAAGTCATCTGAAAAGAATTTCTTGGTCGAAAAAGGCACCGAAGTATATCGATGGAACTTCTTGTTTCCTATACTTGTATTTTCATTCACGGAAAGAATTTTTTCTTAGAATTTACCCTGAAAATTATGTGAGACAATATGATATTGGAAGAATTTTATAAGAGTTTCTCTGATTATAATATTTATCGTAATAAAAAATATTAATATGTACATAGTAAAATTAATCGGATATATTTTATATCTTATTCTATATATATTAATATTTTTTATTGTAGTAGAGAAACTTAATAAAATTTTTCCAATACCATATTGTCTCATAATTATCATGATTTTCAGAGTAAAAGAATTTACTAAGAATTTTATAAGAGTTTGTCTGATTAATATTTATCACAATAAAAAATATTAATGTAATAGTAAATAACTAACATAATTTATATCGTATTGTGATAGAGATATTCATATTTTTTATTAATCTCCTACAAAATTTTTCCATATTGTTCCACGATTACTATAATTTTCACTATTTTTCACACAGGGTAAATTTTCTCTGACACTAAAAAAAATTATTTAACAAAATCTGCGGTTGAATACGTGCAAATAAATATAAATGTAATAAGAACTAAATATATATTTTGTTTAATTGCAATGCCAATGTTACAAAATTGGTTTTTAACAAAATATTTAGTTCTTATTACATTGATATGTATTCGACCGCCGATTTTAGGTCAAATAATTTTTTTTTTTTCCAGTATAGAATTCTCTGTGTATCTTATCTAGATATTTCAACGTATATAAATTTTTTGGTACGTTTTCCCCTTGGAAAATGAGTAACGATGAAAAAAGCTGGTAGACCTGCGCACACGGTAGGTCCTCGACAGGACACGAGAGAGAGAGAGACCATTCTCGCGCTGTAGGTGGTCCAGTTGCGGAGGATGGACGCGCCGCGCGCCGTCAGCTTGATTCCTCTCAGGGTGAACTTCGCTTTCTGGGAAAATAAGGGAGAGGACGGGAGTCCCCAGAGTACGGGATGGTGATAGAAGATCGCTCTGACGAGAGAGAACGGGGCCGATCGAGAGCGCGTTTCCGGTGAATTCGCAGTTTCGCGATATAGGTTTGCCTTAAAAGGCTGCTGGAAGATGCGCAGCAGCGGGAAAAGACAAAAGAGGCGAAATTGGTCAGCGGAATGAGTGGGAAGGGGACGACGCGGGAGCAGGAATAGATGGAGGACGTCAGGTATACGAAGGTCGTTAGCTCGAAGAAAAATTAGCCGTTTGTCGGAGCCCTGCCCCGGAGATGGGTCAATCAGATACGAAAACACTTGTCCGGCCCGGAGCATTGTGGTCGGCGAGGTAACAGGCCGGCTACAAAAGATAGTATAGACACAGGTATATACTCGTCCTAATGACTATGGACCAAGAATTCAGACCTTTGCTCGTGGAAGTTGGTATATATAGGGAATAGAAAGGTGGAGGCTGGCTTCCTCGTGTCATCTCACGTATTGGGATGTAGAACTTCGCGTGTGATCCACTACGTTTGCCCTCTTTCGGCACTAGCGGGGGGTCGGTATTAAGGATCGATCTAATGAAGATTTTTATGGGTTTGTAATGGTCACATTTTTGTCCACTGAGTGTGTATATTATTGAAAGACTTGAGTTGCTTGCGACAACTTGACAGCGTGTTTCAAGAGCGCGATTGACACGCGTGGGACACCGTATGGGATCCCGTTATCACATGCAGATGTGATATTTCATTCGTCGAATAGAACCCGAAGGAAGATTACAATCTTCCTCGTGCTTTCGAATCTTAAATATCTCGAATCCTCTTGAGAAAATTAGAGGGCCTTAAAATATTTTATTAAACGGTATAATGTGAATTTTCTGTTAATGCGCGAAAGCGCTGGAAGGGATTGAACCCTCGAGAGATAAAAGACGTATGAAAAGAATTTAAATGCCGATCTCGGAAGTTGAAGAATGTTGATGCGATTTTCGCGGTGGATTGGTTCTGGGTATTGTTAAAACGGCACGGGTGTTCCAAAGTGACGACACTCACGGCTAAAACCAAGTGGAGAATCGTGTCCGGTACAGGTTCCGATCTGTCAGGGGCGTGGTCGTAAACTTTAGTGCCCACCCGTGTATATACGTGGTCCGGAGACCACCACGTCCTGTCGGCGTGTTCCTTCGTTCGCCATCGATACGATGACTTTCTCTCCCTTTTCATTCCCTTATTCGTTTCTCTTCTTTCTCCTTTCTTGGCGCACTCTCGGTATTCCTTTTCCGGTTTTCTAGAGCGAGAAACACACCGGACACCTACTTGCCGTCCGAATCAAGATAGAGCAGCTGGTCATAAAACGTAAATGGGGTTATTGGCCCGAGAAAGAGCGAAAAAAAGAGAAAGAGTCTTTAAGCTCGGTAATAGATTTCCACTTTGCCGCAGCACCGCGGGGTTTAGCGCGTCGAGCCCGCAGACTTTTTTTCTCCGATTCGGCCGGCTCGATCACGAATTTTATGGTCCACCTTATAACGTTGCGTTAATTATTGCCTGCGTTTCTTTGAGACCGAGAGAAAAAAATTTCGTCTGTTTCGTCCGTAATTAATTATACTTGTATAGCGTAATGAATTGTGGCACCGTCGAGATTCTAATCGGAGATTCTCCTTCTACTCGCAGAAAATTAATGTTATTTATTAATGGTATATTTTTTAAATTATATACAGTTTTTCATGTGATTATTTATTTTGTAAATTATGTCTTTTGAAATTAGATCTCACTGCGGTAAGAAAAGATAGTCATCAGATTGTCAATAGGTTTATTTGTACGATTTGCACGTTCGCAACTGTCTGGCAGTCGGCCAATATAACAATCAAGCTGTGAATTGAAACAGACGTAATTATCTGTGTTATGCGGCACTCGATAAGTTTACGCGATGCGTAATTTCTTTAGAATTTCTTAAACTATACTTAGCTTCTCATTTCAATTCTAATCAATTTTCAATCTTTATATTAATTTCTTTATGACATAATCACATGGAATTATTCATTCATTACTCTTTCACTTATATATTATTGTAAGCTAAGTATAAACTTACTTGAAATACACAAGGCTAGATTTATGTATAAATTTATAAAGTTACGTTTACTTTCCATATTACGAGACATAATCATCTTGAAAAATATGCAGCTCTCTAAATAATTTATTTTTCATAAATTTTAATCTCATTAATATTTAATACAGAGAAAATACAGAGAAAACATTCTGTATTTTTTATTCGCGTATAAACAATCTCGTACTATGGTTCATGTATAAATAGTCTCGTAAGATGGAAAAAATAAATTGTATTTTTAAATGTATGCATAATTTAAAAACACATTTACTTTTTTCATATTACGAGACTTTATTTTATTTTTAACTTGTTTTAACTTTATTTTATTTTTAAAACTATTTAAAATACACAAGACTAAATTTATGTATAAATTTAAAAAGTTACGTTTACTTTTCATATTACGAGATAATAAATTTTAATCTTATTAATAATATTTAATATACAGAGAAACTATTTTATATTTTTGATTCATGTATAAATAAAGTCTTGTAATGTGGAAAAAGTAAATGTATTTTTAAATTTATGTATACTTAATTTATGTATTTTAAAAACACATTTACTTTATCCATATTACGAGACTTTATAATTATCTTGAAAATTACGTAGCTCTAAATAATTTATTTTTAATTAAAATTTTTAATTTTTATTAATATTTAATATATAGAAAAGAAAAAAAATATATTTTTGATTAATAGAGAAAGAAGCTGATACATTTATAATTCTTAATTATAAAACTTCAATTTTGCTATGGAAAATATTCTTCGATATTGAATTGTATCCTGTAGTGCACGCGCGCGAGCGATCAGCTGATATATGTCAAGCTGAGCGTGAATGAGACATCTGTCACACCATCTAGCGTACGCGACACGTGACTCGTCGCGATTCCATAATGTAACACGTGATGGTACACACGTGTCTATTCACGATATATATGTACGAAGGCGCTGGCTGCATTCTCTCCCGCTTCTTCGGCTGTGTCGTCAGCAAGTGCTGACAATTCTGGCAGGTGCTGTTTGACCGTGTTTGCGATCGGTTCGTGCGCATTTATACGTCGCGTTCGACAGTCTGTTTTCGCTTTTTGACTGGCATCTGGTGATCCGCAAACAGCCTGACATCATTTACATAATTACGTTACGATGTAAGTCTTCATCAAGTCTCCTCCAATTTGCTTCTAACCTGCATGACCAGATAGAGGTTATTTAACACGATTATCGCCCTCGGGAAATCTCGTACTGTCCCTGGTTAATCCCCGCGATTCTCTGACGTAGAGACTTTCACTGCGTTCCTTTCACGAAGGATTTTTCGCACGATCGTTCGTTCGCAGCCTTGATCACGTAATGTGCCTCTGTGTTCTGTTTGCACACTTTTATCATGTTTTTCAATTCATTTTGTATGTACGTGTCTGCGAGATGTGCAGCTCTGTCCTCTCTTGACACATATGCGGAGTGAACCGAGATGTTGCAATAAAAAATTTCGTCGACTGAATAAGCGAAAATATGTGGAGAGTAGAAGAACCGTTCAATACTTTGCACACAGTACACATTTGTAATGAAAAAAATATGCTAAAAATATGTTAAAAATATGCTCAACTGAAGACATAGTTAATAAAAACTAGGGGACGTAGTAAAAAAATAGGACATAATAATAAACATATAAAAAAGTTAAAAAATACGATATAAATGTATTTAAATTTCTGCATGTATACAAATGATAATATTTTATAAACATACATATTTGTATATCAAATATAAATATAAATGCTTCATATATATTTTTCATTACTATTTCTCATGTATGACGTAAAATATACTTATATTGCAAACATGTGTTTATTGTAAGAAGGAAAAGATAACTCCTTATCTTTTATTCTCATTTCTCTTAAATTTAATATATTCTCTTACAATATTAGTTTTCTCGACTTTCTTATTCTTATTCTTGTGCCTATTATTTATTTGCCGTTTGAATATGTCATATACCTCATATGTATTATTTTAATGAGTATAGGTATTATCATTACATTCATAATTAATATCTATAATTTAATAAAAATATTTATAATGCACATTCATAATAAATTATAATTTCATAACAATTTATTAGTTTTATAATTTATAAGTTTAATATGTTATTTTATCTGCTTGTACAATTTCAAAATTGACTTTATTTATATATTGACTTAAATGAGTTTTCTAAACGCGTTTTGATTTTGAAAAAAAAATTTATTTAAAAATTGTGAGCTAATTATTCATTTGTGTGTGTTTAATGAACTTATATAACATAGTTATAATATTTCGTGGTTTTTACTTTTTCGATTTTTACTAGTTTTTTTAAAAACTCGATATTGCATACATGATACAATTTGTTTGTAAATACATGTGGCCTGATTTGAATCTTGCCATACGAGAAATAAGGAAAATTCCATCATTTTTTTCCTAATTTTTCTTATCCAGTATAAGACATATCGTAATCATCGTTTGTCAATCTTTATTAAAAGATAAGAGGAACCCAGATAGCACCATGTCCAAAATGCACCCATAAGACATTTTTAAGATGTTTTCAAGGTGTCTTTGGGATATCATATCATAAGATTTCTTAAAGATGTCTTAAAGATTTCTTAATGATGACTTATGCGTGCATTTTAGACATGGTGCTATCTGGGAATTGATTAGACGAAGTAAAATATGACATTTAAATAGCTAACAATAAGTTATGTCTAACGTTTTGTTTTTTAAGTCGAAAAATATTTTTCTATTATTCCTTATCATCCGTACTTTTTTTCACATTGTTCCAGAAAAATGCAGTACCTCTTGCCACTGTTTTTAGTAGCTTTAATAATACAATCGTCGGTCGCACCGCCCATCACACAGGAAAAGAAGGATGGGGATCACAAGGACAAGGAGAACGAGGTCGATGACATGGAAGATGTGGTGAGTTATTTTTGAAATGGTTCTTATTGATCTCTCTAACTTCTTCTGTGACATTGAAACGCTCTTTTAGGGAAACGAATATCAGTTCGAATATCAGAGGTATTTGAAGGAAGTGGTGCAGGCTCTGGAAAGCGACGCGGACTTTCGCGCAAAATTAGAAAAGGCAAATGAAGACGACATACGTGTAAGTATTATTATAAATTAAAAGGATATATTTTGAGTTTTCCGTTATTATCTTCCATAAGCGGAGACATTTAATTGAGTGAAAATATAATAAGAGTAAACGAATTATGTAAATACGAAATTGAGTGAAAATATAATAAGAGTAAACGAATTATATTAATTTTTAATATGTATGTATTATGAAAGTGCTAAGTTATTTTATGATGAATAAAAATATGTTAAAAGTGTAGTAAAGAACATGGCGTCGCAGAAGAAATATAATAAAAAAGAAAAAAGATTTATCCACACTTAATAATCAATATACTAGTTTTTTTAAATAAAAAATAATATACTAATTTTTTTTTTTTTTTAATAAAAAAAGTTTAGAATATCAAATAATAGTAAGAGAAATGAATAGATCGAGATTTATGACACGACGATTGAAGAGTTGAAATATTTTCAGAGATTTATACTTCAGACTTGTGAATAATTTAAATAATTTTTGTACGCAGACGGGAAATATAGCGCACGAACTGCAATTCGTGGATCACAAAATTAGGACGAAACTGGACGAATTGAAACGAGAGGAATTGGAGAGATTGAGGCATCTCGCCACCAAAGAGCATAATCTGATAAATGGTCTGGATCTGGATCATTTGAAGATAGCGGAACATTTGGATCACTCCAACTCGCATACGTTCGAGATAGACGATTTGAAAAAATTGATTGCCAAGGTAGGGATTTTTGTATTTTTATATGTAAAATAAAGAATTCTTACGCGCAAGAATTATTATATTATAGATTAATTATATATTATAGATTAATAAAAGTATGTCTCATTACTTTAATATTACAGACTACGAAAGATTTAGCAGATGCTGATAAACGAAGACGCCAGCAGTTCAAAGAATATGAGATGATAAAGAAATATGAGGAAGAGCAAAAGATGAAGGGTAATACTGGTACAGAACGTAACTTTTCGACTTAATTATTTATTAATTTATTTTAATTAGTTTAATAATAAATAATTAAACTAATAATAATTATCAAAAATTGTAAATTAATAAATAATTAAAATAATCATTATTTAGGAGATACTTTTCGAATTAACATTTTTATTCTTAAAAGCTATGAAGGAAGAAGAGAGGAAGAAATACGAAGAGGAGCTGGAAGCGATGAAAAAGAAACACAAAGATCACAAACCAGTAAGTTGGAAAAGAGATACAAGCTTTCTTTTACTTTCTTCCCTATTAAGTGATATGAATTTGCAGTTACATCACCCTGGGAGCAAGCAACAACTGGAAGAAGTATGGGAGAAGCAAGATCATATGGAGAATCAAGACTTTAATCCCAAAACGTTCTTTTATCTTCATGGTACGATATATTATCGTTATTAATAGTATTATGAGATATATTGTTATTTCGTCATGTTAAAAAAAGATTATGTATACACATACATTTTTATATTGATTCAGATCTAGATGGTAATGGTTTCTGGGATCAAGATGAAGTGAAGGCTCTATTCTTGAAGGAATTAGATAAACTTTACTCTGAAGGCGCTCCAGAAGACGATATCTATGAAAGACGTGAAGAAATGGAAAGAATGAGAGAACACGTGTTTAAAGAAGCTGATCTTAATCACGACGGTCTGATAAGGTACTCCAATAATTCATTAAATTTTGCACATTAAGAATTCTTTACATTAATTGATTAGCAGAATCGCAGGTAATGGACTATTCACTTTTTGCTTATTACAGTTATCAGGAGTTTTTAGAACAGACGAGGAAACCCGATTTCCAACAAGACGAAGGATGGCAAGGATTGGATGAGCAACAGATGTTCTCTCAGGAAGAATACGAAACTTTCCAACAACGCAGGCAGAAAGAGATTCAAGACCTAATTGCCAAAGGAATGGTAAGCGTTTAGCTATCATATATAATCCTAAGTGTATGCATTTTAAAAAAAGTAGAAAAGCTACGGATCCAATTGCGTGTACCAGTAACTATTACAGGATTAAATATCCTCACATATATCGAGTGAATTTTATTTTGATATTTTAAATAGATTTGAACGCAATCTAAGTAATTTTGTTTGTTGCTTCGTATATACTTCTTCGACAGCATGTTCGAGGTAAAAATAGAAAATGTACGCTTATTTATTGATTTGTAGATCCTTTTATTAGTCGCAATTTCGCGCGGCTATAATTATAGCACATTTGACGATTTGCTGATTTTAATAAACGTGCATAGTCGTTATTTCGTTTCGACTAAGAGACAAGTCATTCGTAGTGATTAGAGTAATTAACCTCGCTTGTGCACTTTTGTTGTTGTTGTTAGTTACCACCACCCTCTGATACTGCACAACTACCTCTTCAACACGAGCAGGTAAATAGTCACGAAATCGTGAAGTATTTACAAAACTTCGAATCTTTTATTAAACTATAGTAACCATCTTTTTCTAACGCTTTTCTTGTTATATTTCGCAGTTTCCACCGCAATATCAGCAACAGCAGTATCATCCGCAACAGATACATCCGTCGCAGCAACAATATCCAGGACAAATACCGCCGCAACAACCGATAGTCGGCCATATGTCATCAGAACACCAGGGACAAGTGCCGCAGCAACAATTCTATCAGCCTCCGCCACAGCAACATTATCCCGATCAGATTTCACAGCAACATCAATACCCAGCGCAGCAGCCACAGTATCAAGTGCCAGTGCCACAGCAACATTTCCAAGCTCAGCCACAGTATCAGCCACAGCATCAGCCACAGCATCAGCCACAGCATCAGCCACAGCAAGCACAGCAACAATTCCAGGGCCAGCCTCAACAGGCTCAGCAACAATTCCAAGGCCAGCCTCAACAGGCTCAGAAACAATTCCAAGGCCAGCCTCAACAGACTCAGCAACAATTCCAGGGTCAGCCTCAGCAAGTCCAACAACAATCTCAAGGCCAGCCTCAACAGGCTCAACAGCAAACGCAACAACAAACACAAAATCAAGTGCCACAGAATACTCAGGGTAATGCTCCGACGAACAATCAAGGAGGTGCACAACCCAGCCACAATCTTCCACAGAATCCAAAGTCCGCTGAACAACAAATTAATCAGAACAATATACCAAAAATATAAAAGATTTAAATAATGCGAAATTGATATCGATAATTGATGAAAGTGTTTTTTTAGTTAGTTTCTTTTTAAATTGTGAATCGATAAAATTATTGGATAGCTCGATGGTTTCCAATTTAAAGGGATTATATTAAATTTTGTTAAAAATTGCATGTTTGCAATTTTTAAAAAGTGCAAATATTGTAGATAGTATATTTTACAAAAAATTACAATTTTATTTAAAAAAAAAAATATATATATATATTTTTTAAATATACACATATGCATATATATATATATACACATATACATATGTATATATTAAGTAGGCTATCGAATTCGTTCAACAAAAATTTTCATTATTTTTACAGAATTGTTTCTTTATTTAATACTCGAAAAAGATTAGAGCTATTTATATTGTATAGATGTCTTAACCGCTTGAATAAATGTTTTCCGAAAAAGCATTATTTATCGGAATTCCACAATTATCTTTCGAAAGCCAGTCAATAGTTACATCGTTTCGTTAATTTAATAAAAATAAAGTTTCTTGGAATGTTTGCGCTTAACATTTCATCGAAAAATTGAGTATCGAGAAATTAAGACAAAGGATAGAGAAGGGACGATTTTTGAGAGGACATGCACAGAAAGAAACACATATTTTATTTCTCATATTTATTTGTTATTGCATACTGTTTATGTTAGTATATTACTTAGGTATACGTGCCAAGTAGCAACTTAAATGTATGATTGCGTGATTCATCTGTTTGTTCCACCCGTCAAGCGCGCGGATAGGTAGGTAGGTAGGTAATGTAACTTGCTTACTCCACTATATATAGGGTGTATTTATAAGTATAGCATACCTCGCGGTAGAACGTCATCTTACGAGCTAATCGGTAATAAATAAAAGTGGAACTCGGGGGCCGGACTCTGAAGGGGAAAAATGGGGATCTGAGGGCTGGGAGCAGGAGAAGATGATGGTGGGAAAACGCGTTTAATAATGGGCGAACGATTCTCTGCGTTTCTGCGTCCGTGACTAAAGCAAACGGCGCGCGAAGCAACGCGTCTTCGCGCGTTTTGTTCTTTTTTTATTTTTTTTTTAATTTTTCTTTTTTTTAGTAAATCGGGAACGAACGTCGTTTCACGAGTCGTCGTCACGGCTACATCTCGCGCGCGTTATCACGCGTTGTCGATATAATCTATACCGACATTTTATTCATCGATATAATCTATATCGGTACGGGCGACTTATCCAACAAATTGGGCTACCTACTGAAAAAGAAATACTTGCGTGTGTGTGTGCTCCTGTTCTCATTTCTCTTAAAGGCGGAAAATAAAACGATAGTAACTCTATAAAATATTGCCGTTCGCCGTCGTCGTCGCACACGACGAGTGCAACGAGCGCGCTTATAATCGATAATACCGTTTTCGTCGGCACTGTCTCGATTAAATCATGTGTCGAGGGGACTATTACTTTCAATATATATAGTTTATACGATATATATTATACGAGAAATCATAAATTTCCTACATCTCAACATAACGTAATAATCCTTTAACTAAAGATACGTTCCTTCCAATGTAAATTTTTAAATTCGTAATTATGATATTTACATTAGAGAAATTCATCATTTTATATAAATTTCTTAATTATAATTATAAATACGATTTATTAGAGATTTTTCTTGGTATTTCTAATTAATTTTTAAATTAACCATAAACTTAAACTCTTAAATACTTCTAACAAAAGTTTCTCGTATTTATATATCGTCTAAATATATTAAAAAGATAACGTTTTGCGGATTAAAAGCGGAATATTGGCAAAACGTGCGATCTGTAGATCTAAAAGAAGTTGACGATAGTAAGAAGGTAGTCTTGTTCAGAAAATTAGTAAAAAAAAAAAAATTTGGTTGAAATATAATTATTCGACTCTTTAACGAGTATTTCAATATAGTGTCTCGCGGACATCGCACGTTTTTATTTCCACAATAAATCGAGGCAATGCCTAAGAGAGACGCGAGAGTTCACCGACGATTTAGGCATATTTTTGTTTGTGAAAAACATGTTCGGAAAGGAGGAATATCTCCTTTCGGAAGCGCCCTTTTCGCGGTTCGCTCCGCGTCTCTGACGAGCGGAGGAGGGATCGAAATAAAATCCGGATCTTAGGCTACACTTAAAAAGGGAAGTTCTCAACGAGAACCTCGCGAGAAATAAATATGTTACACGTTATACGATGATAACGATGAAACCTTGCCGTACATGCTGCTCTCCTCTCTATTTACAATTAAGACAAACAATCTCGTGTGTCCCTTCTCATTCTCTCGGCTTCTTGAAGAGTGTATGTATAGATGTACCATGTGTGTGTCCGTATGTCTTTCTCTCTTTGTTTACATTATGTATGTGTTTACTCGGACTCATGTGTGCGATTAAATAACCGGGTTTCTGGAAAGTGTGCGAGAATCCTATCGCTCGACTAATAGCTCTCGCGAAAAAGAAAAAAACTGAAAGATGCCACATCTAAGTTGGTTTCCTTTAAACGTTTAACTATGGTAGAGAAACGGAAACGCGGCGTATTCTTCGCGCGGTCCCGACGACGCGTCATCTCGTCGTAAAATCGCGCCTTCCCTTTGTTTAAATTCAAATAATTCGGCGCGATTATCTTACGTCAACCTGAACTCTTCCACGATGGGAAAACGGCCGTCGTTGACCGCGCGTTTCTGTAAACTAGTCGTAAATCGTGTGTACGGAGACTACTTATACTCTGTTTATAGTCGGCTGTCGCTGTTCAATTCGCTCTCTCTCTTTCTCTTTCTCTCGCAGCTTTTTTTTCCTCTCACTACTCGATACCGCGGCAATAACGACGATCAAAGGAAAGATTGCACGCGTGCATGGAACGAAAGCTCTCGCCGATCGGTTTTTGCATGCGTGTGATCTGAAACTCCTGGACCACCCGCATATCGATAGTCGCTCTTGCGAGAGAGATAGTTTTTTGGACCTTCGCATTTTTCACATTTTTTTTTATAAAATTCGATTGAAAAATTCGAATTATTTTGTCAAATCCAGGTAGCAAACGCACGTCATTTTGACGTTTGATGACATCAGTTTGCTACTTGAAAATCTAACTAATCGGTATCTCTCTCTTTTTTTTTTTTTGTAAAACAGATATTGGAAAATTTATAAAATTGGAGATATTACAATGATCGATTTGTCAGAAACGGAAGATTTGATCAGTGCGTCCATCGATAAACGGGATATCCGCGAGCTGAGAAACTGAATTGGCTCTCTAAGGTAGCGCCAGAGTCACGCACGTCCGTCCTTTTTTTTCTTTGTCGACCCGATAAAAACTCTACGAGCTTTTGCCTTCTCGATTCTAAAACCTTCAAACCTATAGTTCGTGTTTAGCGCAAAACTCTGCCCGTGAACTTTGGTTTCGTCCTCGACGACGTTCGGAAAAAAGAACCGCGGCCTCTATATCTCGTTTCATCTCTCTCTCTCTCTTTCGCTCGCTCTTTCTTTCTATCTCTTTCGCGCAATAAACACACCTCAGTATAATCCTACAGCGTCAATATATCAATTTTTTATATATATATATATATTTATATATATATAATATACTTTTTTCTCATATATATATTCACTTTGTGTTCTATATCAATAATAGCGTATTAGATGCTTTTTTTTGTTCACTTACATCTTAGGTATGTAATATAAGTATTCTTTTTTTTTTCATCTGTTCACAGATACATATATGTATATATCAAAAATGTGGAAACAAAAGGGTCCTCTCGAAATAGCCGTTCTCCGTTTCTATCAGTAAGCTGTTCCACCTTCATCTTTTTTCTCCTCTTTTATACGCTCTTCCCTCCTATCTAAAGTATACGTCGACTTTATTTGCCGGGAAACCAAAAAGGAAAACATCTCGAGAATATGCCATTCAGGGTATTACCTGTGTGGATTGATCCAAAACACAAATTTTGTCGGGTAGTTTGTTGCTTCGGACATTCATTCTAACATGCACACATAAGTTCGTAGACACGTTGCGTGTATTTGACATAAAAGAATCCGTTACGCAGAATACATTTTTTTCGCTCTCATCGCGTAATTATTTCTCTAAAATTATTGAATTAAAAATATTTAAAAAAAAACTTTTCACGGACAGTTTAGGAACTATCGAAAATTTCATATTAAGAAAGATACAAATTTGTATGTTGAAGAGATAAAAGATCATCGAATTGGGACATTGAATTGCAAATGTCACAATTACATGTTGAATTTGAAAGATAGAGGAAATGCTTTCTCTCTACATTTATAGAATATAAATTAAATCTAACCGAGAGTATAATTAAACATTAAATATTATCTTAATTTAAAACGAAATAAGGACAAAAAGAGAATATGAATTACAGAGAATTATAGAGATATTTCTCTTTCAAAATTACTAATTTAGTCTTTTGTTTTCTCTTTCTCTCGATTTAATCGAGACTAAAGATAATTGTTTTTTTTTTTTTTTTTTTTATATCGATGTGAGCGTGTAGAAGATATTAATTTGACGAAAACGAGATGTCAATCTCACGCAGCGTATCTACAAACGTAATCTCACGAATATTGCATTCAGCAGAATTTCGAATGACTTTTTTCTCGTCGCTTAGTCAAGTGGTCACGGTCTACGGGACACTTAATTTTTTTGGAAGGCACTTACTACTTTTTTTCTTTTTATACAATATTTAATTTTAAACTCTTTCGCATTCGCTCTCTCTCTTCCCCACGCTCTCGCGACCTCTTTCTCTCGCTCTTTCTTTCTTTCTTTCTTTCTCTCTTTCGTTCTTTTTCGTCTCTTTCATCTCAATTTTTCGCGTTTCAGTTTGCGCGTTTCTCTAGTAAATTTTAACTCTTCGTTCGCGTAATCTTTTTTTTCCTTTTTTTCGCCGTCGCACGTCTCGCGCGAATTTACGTTTGAACACATTATGCTTAAATGGTAAATAGAATATTCGCGCTTTTTTCCGAATTTCTCGCCAAAATGAAAAACGTGGTCGATCGAAATATTGCAATGCGTATACTAAGAATAATTCGCCGTCTACGTCGCTTCGCGAAACCGTCGCGTTTTCGCACAAAAATTGCTTGTATCAAGAATAACGTGTTACTTTTTTATTTGTTTTCTTTTTATTTTTGGCTTGACCGATGTGTTTCGTTTCTCTAATCGCCGATACGTGCTACGAACGCGCGATCCCTTTTTTCCCTCTTTCTTCCATTTCTTCCTCTCTTTACCGGAAATATTCTGGCTGCATGAGCGTGGCGCTGAGAATTAATTTTCTTCCTTCTGCGATTTTTTTTAATCCTCTCTTTCGTAAAAGTTTCCCCAGACAAACGGATAACACGGATGGCTTGTTTCGCCAAAAGCCTCGTACGAGCAAAAGCGAAAAGCGATGATCTTTCCCTTTCACCGAAGGCCACTTCGAATTTTTTTTGTATTTTTTACACTTACAAGGAGTCTCTTTCTCTCTCTTTCTCTCACTCTTGCTCTCATTTTTCACATACACACACACACACACACACTCTCTCTCTCTCTCTCCCGAACTAGCGTGCCGATATTAGAATCCTTCAGAAAATTCCGTTTTTTTGCGATAAATACATTTATAATTAAATTGCTCGAAAAACTATTGATTCATTTATAGTCATATTAATGAAACTTTCATATTAGCACCATCGAAAAACGATACTTTACGATAATCCAATTTGAAATTGCAGATGAACCGAATTTAGCATAGACGATCAATTATAGGATCCAATGAATTTTAATCACGCATAATTTTGCCCGATTTTGTTTGATATTACAATAAAAATTGCCTCTTACTCACGGTAAATAGTGATCAAATGAGGATCTTTACATTTACAGCACCATTCGAAAGGCTATATAGCTCGCGAGTTTAAAATTTCAAATTAATTGAATTTAGCAAAGGCGACCAGCCTCTAATAAATTTTTACTCGCGCGTGTAATAAAATACTACCTCACTTCAAACTGGTCGGCACGGCTCGTTCATCGATTGTCGAGGACACGAAATCACGCGCGACGTGTGTAAAATTTTGAAAAATAGCACGATCTTTCGAAAGAAGAACGCACACGCACGTGAGTTAGTCTCAATTCATTCTCGCTTCTCTTTCGTTCGTTTCTCTCTCGCATTCACCCTCACAGTTCATATTCGCATTCAGGCCCGTATTCAGGTTCGCAGTCTCGCAACGATGCACACACTCGTGGTCGCCGAACTCGCCGAAATTTCGACACGGTCTGTCGTGTCGAGCCACAGTTTCTCGTTCCCTAATCCCTAAACCTTATAATTTTTATACTTGGCATACCCCAAATATGGCAGGAAGGCAATCATTATACTTAATAACGTTATAGCGATCATCTCGGCCTAGAGTGTGCTCGCTTTATAAGCCGTTAAATTTGTTTTTCACCGTTTCTAAATACTTTGTCTTACGTTTTTCCTTCTTTCGTTCTTCCTCTCTTTCTCTCTTTCTTTCGCTCCCTAATTTTTCTTTTTGCTCGTTTTTTTTTACTTGCTTGGTAGACAGTCATAGTGAATTTTGTACATCTCCCTTACATTCTCTCTTATCGAGCTTAGATCAGTGACGTCGCTTACTGCCTGGCGTCAAAAAGAATAGTACTCTTGCACAAAGCGTCGTGGACAAAATTGAGATTTTCTGTTTCGGAGAGATTCGTAGCAAAATTTATCATCCGCTTACTTATGTTAAGACGTTCGACGCAGAAAGAAAAATTTACATTATTGAAGCGATATATAAAAGACAGATCTATTTAATATATATATATACACTCATCGACAAAAATTTAAGTATCCAGAAAAACACGTCCAATAACAACGAAATTATGTATGGCAGTAGCAATAACAATCATGGACTGGTGGCCGTTTTTGGCGTACATGATTATTCAAACTGAAATCGTTTGCACATAATCTACCTGCGACATAATTGTTATTGGATGTGTTTTTATCTGGGTGCTTAAATTTTGTTGCCGTTGAATGTATATATACATACATGATTTATGTTCACAGAATAATTTACAAAAATAAAAAATAATTTCGCGATATCTATATAATCTATTTTTCTCGCGATATATTAATAATATATATATATGTATATACATATATATTAAAAATAAGAAAAAAAATCTTATTTTTAGCTTCTTAAAATAATTTAAAATCTTTGTGTGATACCTAAAGAATTATTAGGATATATCACAAACTGATCCATGACATGTTGTGTAAGGACTCGATAGTACAACGTGTATAGCTCTATTCGAGGCGGCTTACTTTCTCGTCTCGAGACCTGTTTCGAATAATCAATCATTCGGCAGTAGGCGACCCCTTACGAGTTATTATACATTTGGCATTAAAAGTACAGTTATCATATATGCGTAGGTATAAATTTTCGAGTGTGTATCCTGTGTATGGCGCGCTCTGTTTCTCGTGTGTGAGTGTATATGTATGTCCATATATGCGCTCGTGTGTAGCATGTGGGTTTTACCTTTATTACATGTACATAGTCTGTACGACACGACGATGACACGACTATCTAGATTGGAAAAAGGTGGCGGCGCGCTCGCGGGGCGCCGGCGACCCAATAGCTATAGTACGTTTCGCTAGAAGAAGATTTTACTCTTTCTCTTTCTCTCTTTTTTTCGGTTTTCCCTTTTCTGTCGGCAGAAGAATCGATTGAGCGATTTTCGTCTAATATTCACGATCGCTAAATCATATACTTCCTCGAAAACTAAGCCAGGCGAGAACTTCTCTACCTTATCTCGTCCACGCTGTGTGTGTCTGTTATTTTTTTTTGTTTTTTGATTGTAAGCCTCTTTCTCTCTAACATTCCTCTAACATATCTCGTATGCACAATACATCGGCGCTCGCGTTACAATGTTCACAAGAGTCACGTATACGTTATAATATATATATATATATATAAAATTTATATATTCTATATATATATATATATATATATACTATAAACTCTCTTCCGCGCGCGAGGAGGCCAAGTGCCGCAAAGTCGGAGTTCGATTCTTCTCGAGGAGGAGCGTCAAGATGACTCTCAGCACCTACCGATCCGCATCACCGGACCTCGGCCGTGATGAACGGTCTCGAAAAGAGAGAGGTCCCTCTGAGGTGTCATCGACGCTCCTCGTCCTTCCTCGGCCGGCGATGCTCCTGCAGCGGTGACGTCGTCGTTTCCACTCCTCGCAGTCACCGTGGCGATGGCTTACTATTCGCAGCGCGAGTCCGTGAGCGGCTCGAGCTTCACCGGGATCTTGTCCTTGTCCTTGAGACCGTGAGGACTCTTCACCAGGTCGGCGATGTCCTCCTGGAAGAGAGTCTCCGGGCGCGGACTGACGAAGCTTCGCGCCGGCTTGTACGTCATACCGCTCACGCCGATGCCGACCTCGACACTGCTGGGTATGTGACCCGCCGGATCCATCAGCGGGCCCAACGGACTCGCCAGGGGACTCTCCATCGGGCTCTCGGGTGGTCCACCCGAGCCCGGACTCGCCAGACCGAGATTCAACGGGGAATTGCCGTTGTTGCCGATGCCGCTGTTGCCGCCGAGGCCGGTCGCGTTACTGCCGCTCGTATTGTTGTTATTGTGGTGCTGGCTGGCCTGCATCGCTGCCTGCAAATTCGACGACAGACTGGAGGACAGGCTCGTTGACAGATTCGTCGACAAATTCGTCGCCATCATGTCGTGCTGCTGCGAATGCGCCGCCGCTACCATACTGCACATCTGATGTCGTAGACCTAGGTCGGAAAAGAATTCGTTATTAAAAATAAAGAAAATTATTTATATAAAAATAAATCAATAAAAAGTACTAAATAAAATATTAAAAATAAATAAAATATTGTTTATTAATTTCTTCGACTTGAGGTAACTCCAAGAATTACAGATTTTTAATTGCTAGTTGTAAAGATGAAAAAAAAATTCTAAAAAACGTTCTATCTTCATTTTATTTAAAGATAAATCAATTTTCGTAAAATGAAAAATGTAGAAAATATCGCATGCGATATATTACCTTGGGCGACTGCCGCAACCGCGGCCGCGGCCGCCGCACCCGGGCTGACCGCGCCTTCCGGACCGTTGCAGGCCGCGTAGTTCGCCAGGGTAGGGTACATCGCGGTCGGCTCCTCTTTGACGATATGAGGCGAGTGCCCGTCACGGAACACCACCGCGCGAATCACACCGCGAATGTGCTCGTCCGGCCAGACGCCCAGCAGAATCCTCTGCGGTCTTCCTCTTCCCTTCGGGCGCAAATCTACAGGTGGAGGAAAACAGGATTGGAGAAAAAAGGACAAGAAGAATATAACGTTTCACCGCAAATCGCTTCTACTGAAGTCGCAATAGTTACTTTGTTTTCTTTCGCACTTATTTTGACAATTGCGGTACGTCAAAGACTTGCAATAAAATAAACGATTTATTATATATATATATATAAAAGAATTTTTTATATGTCTCGTTTTGCATTTTATTGTAAGTCTCTAATATGGAATATACAAATACAGGCTTAAAATTCAATAATCGTGATAAACCTCCGAAGGACTTAAACTAAAATAAAGAATAAAAAATCGCAGTTTATAAAAGAACTCTGATTTTAAATAATGAATGAATTTCGCGTCATAAAATCCTGCATTAAATAAAGATATAATTTACTATGAAAATATTGTGAAAAAATTTTTTTACACGTGATTTTAATTATATACATAAATCAATTAATAATTTTATTATAATTTACAATCATGGAACCGCGAGAAAGAATAAACTTCGCGTCTGCACTAAATAGGGATATTATTTTGTAGAATGAATATAATTATGAAGAAAATTTTACAAATGCGCTTGATTTACATATAAATAATTAATAAATTTTATATTTTATACCATAGAATCGG